TACCACAACAGAAACTAAATTATACCCCAAAGCATCCATACAAGCTGCAATGTTAATTAGATGTCATGAGATACTACACCTTGTTTTGAATGACCAAATGTACACTAACTACACTCCTTGCATTCTACACATAGTTTGACTGCTAGGGAACATATCCATGTTTTTTCCACGATATATATCTTTCATTAAAAAAAAAAAACAGGACTTCAAATTAACACCACATTGTGAACAATTTAAATACCTTGATCAGAACTAACAGTGTGGTACTTTCGTTTTCATCCTTCCTTGACTACCAAACAGGAAATTTCCTCAATTAGATGTATGCTAAGTAGGAAAAAAAATGCCATTATCCAAGGACACAACAAGTCTTGTCAGGTATTTCAACATGGCGGAAGAGTAGTCAGGTTTTAATTGGTCCTACTGAGCTCACCCACAAGCTACAACATTCTTTACCTCAGCAGTGTGGTATTCAAAAGGAAAAAAAAAACTACAAAGTTAGTTTCTACCTTTGAAAACATCAAATGAATCATGTTCAGTTTCATCCTGTTAACTGAATGTGCTTGTTGATAAAAGTGCACATATCAACACTAGTAAGATTGGAATTGAAAAGTAAAATAGATTTGAGAAAACACCCCACCCCCAACATTGTTTATTTCCTCACAAAAATAAAAGAGCTGGGCTCTAGTTTTGCTAGTATTTTCCCAGTCTTCCTGTCTACTGGATTTGAAAGCACTTTCTCTAGACACTTCATAGTCAGACAGTGACCTTCTATAACTCTGTTCTTAACTAAATGATAAAAACTTTCTCCAATCAAAATTCTTATCAATTTGGGATTATTAAAGTTGGGCACACTAGCAGATTTATTTTTAAAACTGCTAGGCAAAGCATTCTGAAACAATAGACAAAGAAGTAATAAAATAAAAAAAAGAATGGGAAGATACAAAAATTTTACCTCTTAAAAATAGAGAATGCCAAAACAGGAAGGGCTGATGAGATAGTTCTGGTTTTGGCAGGCTTTGTTTAGACAGATGCACAACCATTAGTTTTCTGCTTTAACTTGACCAAGACTTTTGACACTAAAAAGAAAACAGCTAACTCAATAATAAAAATAATAAAACCAAAAAAAAGAATATTTAAGGAGGTGAAGTCTTCATGGTTTTATGGAAGATGTATCCACCTGGGTCTTTACCATAATTACCACAGTTCAAGCACAGAATAGCAAGCAGCTGGGAAAGGCCTGTATATCAATGTAGTTTTCCTTTTCCTTAACCAGCATTTCATTAATTAAATAACATTCTCTCAATGGAGCAAGGAGACTCCTGAGGGATGTGGAAAATAGAAGAACCATGGAATCTCCATTTGTCAATACTGGAAGAGGCCTAAAAGCTTGAGCTGCTTTCACTTCTTATTTCCTTTCTGCAGGCTTTCAAAACACTTGTTCACCCTGAAACCCAGGGAGGCCAAGACAAGAGAATAATAAACGGGAACTTCCAGCCTCCACTCCACCTTCTTATCTTTCCACCTAAGCGCCATCCTTGGATAGCCCAGCTTACATGGCCAACCCCTGTCCACCAACTAAGCATGTCCACTGTCGGGAGGATAAACTTAGGGCAAATGCATATGAAATCCCTGCAATGGGCTCAGCGCCAGCTGGACAGGGCCAAGTGTGTTATAGATGAAGGGCACAAGCTCTGGGCACTCCGTTGGTCCTGAAGATTCCTTACCCAAGGGGAATCGAAAGGCCTTACAAAGAATCAGCGTGGGGGCCCTCTAAAGTGGAGGGTCCAAGGAAGGAGCCCTGGTTGCATGAGGCAAAGGCCAAACAGTACTGGCTTCCAGATACAGAAATAGTTACATTGGTCATGTTGTTGTTTAGTCACTAAGTAGTGTCCAACTCTTTTTGTGACCCCATGGGATTTTTCCAGGCAAGAATGCTGGAGTGGGTTGCCATTTCCTTCTCCAGGGAATCTTCCCAACCCAGGGATCAGACCCAGGGATCGAACCCATGTCTCCTGCATTGGCAGGTGGATTCTTTACCACTGAGCCACCAGGGAAGCCCTTATTGGTCACACACTATCATTATTTCCACCACTTATCAGAAAGTTCTACAAAGTTTTAGCTGAACTAACTGGAGGCCTAATGTTTAGAGTAACTCAAGAACACCTCTAAAATTCCTTTAATGATTAAAAAAAATTGAACATGGCCTTGAAACAAAAAAAAATTTTTTTTAATAATTTTAAGTTGAAATTATCTTGCTAATTAAAGCAACTTAGCCTTGATCAGAAACTACAAAATGTTTGAAATTTTAAAAAGATTAATACTCATGAGACCAATCGTCCGCATGTTTATAATTTTCATATGTTTCTGATCCAGAATTTTTTTATTTGTTGGGGTGAAAATTACCTTTAGAATTTTAAACAAAACATGCTTTCTGTCATTTTGTTCAGAATTCTTCAAAATATATCTCACAAGGATTGGTATAAATGTACTAGATGTCCCATAGAAAGATAATTACCTCTGGTGGGGGGGAAAGGTATATAAAATTTGAGCTCTCAGTCCATTAGGACTGTGTAAAATTTGCAAACATCTGAGACTCACAGAATAAGAGAAGGAGTGGGGTGAGGGGGGAAGAAGATGAACTGCCATCTCCCAAAAGATTTTTGTTCAGCAGCTAAAAATGAGGAGGCATATGCAAATGACTTTCATTTTTTAAAACAATTGTTAACAGTAGACTAGTTTTCAAGTTGGTCCAAAGAAGGATAATCCCTGTAGCGGTGACATGCTAACAGTGGGTTCAGGTTCAGAGAAAGATTAAATCAGACCAGACCACTAAGGAACACTGTGTAAATGTAAAACCCCAAAAGCCCCGTGTGAGCAAAGCAGAAAGCTGTTTTGAGAGGTAAAAACAGGCCTTCTCAAAGGCTTTGGTGTGAGGTTTTGATGTAGAAAATGCTTATCAAATGTAAATATCTGGAGGGTAATCAATTCCTACCTAAGCTGTTCCTTTTTGCCCAGTTCATCTACCCCCTGCCTTCCCTTTAGTCCCAAATTGCCACCGAGATGGGCACTAGTAGACAACAGCTCTCAGATCTCTGAGAGCTCTTTGAAGGAGGGGCCATGCAGTGTTTGCAACTTTTAAAATCTATAAAGTACTTTGAGCTTCCTCAGGAAAGACCTAAAAATATATTCACTTATCACTTGACCTTAGAAGTTAAACAAAAATTTAAATGGCTTGAGAAAATTTAACAGGTAAATCTGGTCAAAGGGATTTGATCTTGCATTATTGCATAAACCAAACTTGAATAGTTATATCAATGGAATAACACTTATTGGGCCTGGGAAACCTTACTGGTTCATGAAAAAAATCCAATCCTCTTTTAACAGTGATCATCACTACTCCTAGGTCAGAATCACTATTTATATAAAAAATACTCTCCATGAATATTTTCAAAAATAAAATTAACAGCTTTATTTATAGTTTAGTTTTCCTATCAACATCTGCCTTTCTGTATTCTGAATACAAGAATGTTCTGAAAACATTTTAACATCTCATAAAGTTCTTGCTATCCCTTGCCTAAACCATGACAATTTGATTTTAATTCAGTCTCTTCCCTGAGACTTTGAGAAGGGAAAGAGTTTACCTGTGGTTTCATGTATGTAATGGAAATTATGCTTTTCCTTAAAGTGAACATATTGTTCTAAGGTTCATATATTCTTTGAGAAGGGCAAGGAGGGAGACGAAGATACGAAGCAACATTCAGAGAGCTGGAAAGAACCTCTAGTGCCCTTCTGTAGTGCCTACAGAAACTTCCAAGCAGCACACATTCCATATACAATCTCCTTTCTTTCTCGCTACAACTCCATGAAATAAATCTTGTATTATGTCTAATTTCAAATGTGGCAACAAGCTTGGAGAGTTAAATATGATAACAAGAGGACTTGAACACACAAATACCTGGCTCCAAGTCTTGGTATTTCTACCACTTGGCTTCTGTAGTTTCCTTTTTTTGTGTTTTTTGCTTGCACTTTGATATTTTTAAGGGGATACAAGGTTAAGAGGCCATATACCTTCCTTCTGGTGCTGCTTAGCTTATCTTTATGTATTAACCATTAACTTTCTCTGGCAACACAGGAACCAGCCTTGACACTTCCCCATTTTTTCACGGCTGCTAAAAACTGATAATAGGCTTGAGCTACCCACAGCACGAAAAAACTTGCTTTTTTTTTTTAACTTCAAAGTTACGTGTGTTTTAAATTCAAGCTCTGTGAGCTTAGAGAATGTCTCATGACTCCCAAGATCGAAAACTGAAGTTGATCTAATACTTATGCCCGCCTAAACAAATCATGAAATATAAAACACAGAGCATTGTTTGGCCTATTCCACCATCCTAGAAGAGCAGCATAATGGCATCTAAGTGTTCGGAAGGGCCCTGCTGCAGTCTTGCTCAGATCTGCTGTCCACAGCCACAGACTGACTCCCTGAAAAACTGGAAGCATTGCTGGACACAGCTTCACAACGCTTAGCACTTCACTGGGAATAGTCCAAGAGGCCACAGCGAGTGTTATAAAACATTTAAGTCTCTCCTAAGATTAACATAGAAGACTGGTAAATACAAGACCTGAAAGGTGTGTGCACTAGTATTAGCTAGTGTTGTTCTTCCAATTTTTACCTCTCAGTAGCCAAGTGAAATTTCTGCCTTTAAGATAAGTAGCTAGGCCTCAAAATGCACAATGTGTGCTTGAGTCTCTAGAAAAATTCAAAATGTTAACTAAGCACTCTGATAAGCTAGTCAAGTTGGTTGAAAACTCTAATATATGTACCTTCCCATAAATACTCTGGGTATTTATGAACTTTTTGTTGAGACTTACCTTGGTATTGAATTAGAAAAAAGCTTGCAAGTAAATCTTGTTGGTAGCTTCCTCCCAAACAAAGCTGAATACTTACAAAGGTGATTATCTACCACTTTGAAATACCAGAGAAAAATAAAATTAGCTTTTGCTAAAAAAAAAAAAAGTTTATTTTTATTTAACGACTAAGCCATTCATTGGCAGATTAGAAAGCAACAAACTTTTGTCAAGTTTCGTTAACACATTTGCTTTTTTTTATTTTTTAGAATATAGTCTACATCTGGATTAAAAAAGTTTTAAATAAATTTAAGACATATAACAACAGTGGAACCCTTCATCATTCTATGTACAACATGGATAGAATGTCAGTTGGTTCCATCTTGGGTAAGTCCACTTTCTCATAACAATGTTATTATTTTCACCAAGTGGCAAGCTTCCTACAAGCTGGCACCGTGCCAGCTTACACATACTGGGGTGGGGGTGGTGTGAAAGGGATGGGATAGAGGTGCCACAGGACAACTATACAGTGTAACAGAAAATCATTAATAAACTAGTACCGGTTACCGACACAGTGCTGTTTGTGCGCCTATCACAATGGAATCGCCGAAGTTTCAGAGCAAGGAGGAGATTCGAAATACTTAGGACGGGGCCACTGTTACCGGAAAACTGATGCAACCTTAGCAACACTGCTGCCTCCACCAGCCCAACGGCAGGGCGGCGGGAGGCTGCGCAATCGCCCCGCCTTCCCCAGCGCTCAGCTCCGGGCAGCGCTCCCAAGTGTGGCAACCCAGCGCCGCGCCCCGGAATGGCCTATTCTCGGCCCTTCTCCTCCGGAAAGAAAAGAAACTCCAGGAAAGGCACAGACTGAATGCAGGGCGTCAACTCAGGCCCATTCCCACCAAAGTAGAACACAGCCCCCTCATTCCCCCACCTCCGCCCGACCCCGCCGGGGGAGAGAAGGAAGTCCTTGAGCACTATCCCACCTCTTTGGCCACCACTTTCCTCTCTGCTCTCGCCAAAGAAGCCCCTTCCTCCATGCTGCCCTGCTGCGCCCCCAGCATGTACGCAGCCCCCCAACTTTGCAGTCCGCCCATCGCGCCCTAGAGCCAGAAAGAAAATAGCTTTAAGGAAAGAGAGAGGGTGAGAGATGGGACCAGGAAGGGTGCGGGACAGCCGCGGGCGACCCGCCTCAGTGCCCCCAATTGCTGAAGCCGATCTCCTGCTTGTATCTGTTAGTGAGGATGTTGGCTTTGCGCGTGAGTTTGGAGAGCACAGTGTGCAGCCCTCGCAGGTGGTAGTGGAACTGCTGTTCCAGGTCCTCCTCGCCGGCGTCCGCGCCCTCCAGGTTGCTCAGGTCCACCAGGATGTCCTTGGACTTCCAGGCGCTCCCCTCCTCGCTCCCTGCCGCCGGCGGCTGGTGTAGGACTCCCCACTCGATGTCGTTGCGGATGGACTTGAGCAGCACGTAGTGGCTGTACATGTCCCGGGTGGGCGCGAAAAAGCTGCCATTGGCGCTGCCCGGGCTGGGGGCCGGGGGCGTGCGCTCCTCCAGGCAGCCGCCGCTGCCGCCTACCTCCACGCCGACGTCGTTGTCCAGCTCGGGCTCGGCCAGCGGCACGTCGCGCAGCAGACTGGGCACCATCACCGTCTGGTCCATGTTGTTCACGGCGCCGATGAAGCGATTCATGGCGTTAAAGAGCGAGTGCTTCTGGTTGTAGGTGTCGCAAATTTGCATCATGGTGGCCGCGTGGGCGCCGAAGCACAGGGACGCAGGGGCACGGGATGGCCGGCTAGGGCGAGGGGCTGCCCGCCTTCACGCGCTCTGTGAGGCCCGCGCCGGGAGCCTGGCTACTGCCGGTGCGGCGGGATTCCCGGCTCCTCCTCCGCCTTCTCCAACTCGTCTCGATCGCAGCCCGGCCCCGCGGGATGCGCGACTTCTGGCTTAGGCGTCCGGAAGCTCGCGATATCAGCTCGTGGTCCCTGGGTCGAGCCCTTGCCTGCTTGGAAGACGGGGACGAAAGAGAAGATTATTCACCCAGCTAGGGTGCCCGGTACCCCCGCCTGCGCGCACCGCCCCTCCCCCACATCCCCCCGGTTACTGCTTCTCTGGGACGGCGCCCGGGTGGCTCCCAGCAATCAGGCGGTCCCACCTCCTAGCGCGCCCAGTGCCTCCGAGAGAAAGAAAGTGGGCTCCCCACTCCCGTCTCCCTCCGCAAAGCCGGAGTCCAAGCACCCCCGAAGACCGGGCAGAAATGGGGAGAGGGCACGCACTTCCTCCGGCGCCTCGAGATCCCCTGCTGCTGGGTAGCTCAGTGTTCCCGCTCCCGGCGGCTGCTGCTTGCGGCTGCTGCGGCGGTCAGTGGCCGAACTGTGTCTGCGGGCGGTGGTGGTGGCGTGGGCCCCCTACCCATCCCAGGTGCTCAATTTATAGAGCCCTGGAAAGGTGTCGCCGACGCTCAGGGCCACCCCTTGAGTCTCCTCCTCCCGCCTCCCCGGCAGCGCCGAGATAAAAGGCCCAAGCTGAGGATGACCGGGAGTAACACTCTCTGGGCCCTTTCTACAGCGGGGGCGGGGCGTGCTGGGCCAGCCCCGCCTCTCGCCTGATACCCGGGCGGAGGGAGGGCGCCGTGGCAGGGCAGGGCAGAGGAGAGATGGAGCAGCCAGCCGCACCCGCCAGCGCCGAGTGCAGAGCAGGCCAGTGTTGGGGGGGGGAGGTCAGGCGCTGTGTGGGTAAAGGAGGGGCCGGCGTCCCCTCTGGCCAGTGGGCGGGCAGGAGTGCGGGGGATGGGTGGGCCTTGCTCATGTTCCGGGGGTGGGAAGACCGAGTTGCTTGTGCCCTGGTCGAAAAGTGAGCCCCCCCCCTCCAACCCCGCATCTATGCTGGCAGTAGCCCGGAAACTACCAGTCCGGTTTATTAATAGCCGTCGGGGGAAAGGGACCCGCAGTAGCAGCAACTCCATCCCGAGACTCTTACGTAAGAAGGGTGAAAGAAGAGTGACGGGGCATGCCGGCTGCACGTGGACGCTTGGTGCTCCCGCCATGGCCCTGGCCTTGGCCTACTGTGGGGGCAGGGAGATGAGCCTCAGAGGCTTTTGCCTACCTCCTGGCTGGGTCTTTCGCAATATTTCCAGTAACATCCGTTGCCAAGGGATGAAGAGCGACCCATCCTTGTATCTGCACAGCCTTCCAGGAGATCAGATGTGGCGATGGGAAGTAGCCAAATTCCTGACTTTTGCCCAAATCCCGCCACTCAGTTTGAAATGTTCCTTTCCAAAAATAGTTCTTAAAACGCAAGGTCATTCAATAGGGCCTAAAACTATGTACCAAATTGTTGGATTTAACTTTTCTGTCTTGCACCTTAAATTTCAGTTTGAGACTCTAAACCACAGCCCGTTTTCAGTTTTGTTTTTCCCATCTCAATTCCCATGCCATGTCCTTCATCCAACAGTGTTCTCCAACAGTCCTACAGATAATCCAAGAAGACTCAAGTTTCTAATTTTTAATCTCTTTTCTCTAAAACCTTTTAAGGGTGCTTTTAGTACTGTTTTTTCACAGGACAAAAGTGCCAAAAGGGAGAAGCACAAAATAAGTTTATTTTTTCCCCTTTCACTTTAATAATCTATATTTAATTTTTTCCCACGGCAAACCATCTTCCTAATTGTCTTTTGAATGAAAATCTGACCTGGTGCTACAAGGCTGGGACAGAGGAGACAGAGCCCAGCCCTGGGAGCCCCCCTCCCAGGGCTTATTAGTTCTGCCAGATCATAGCCCTTGTTTTTTATCTGTAAAACTGGAATCATGTTACCAGCTCAACCTATCAGGGTCTTTGGGAGAATCAGTGGAAAGAAAAATGTAGACCAAAGAAGCATTATGTAAATTTCAAGCATTAAAATAATCTCATCCTCTGTTTACACATGTGGAAACTTACAAACTCTTCCAGCCCCAATTTCCTCCTCAATAAAATGGAGCTTCTCCCATGGACTGTGCCAAATTTTGGTTAATGGTGAATAAGATAATAGATATAAAAATTATTATGTAAACTGTAAAGTATAAAGGTGAAATTGTACTTAGTATAGGATCTTTTCATAGTCTAAAGGTTTTTATATGAAGGGTCAGAAACCTTAAACATGTGAAAATGGTTCATGATGATTCACAGACCCTTCCACACTGCCCCCGGATGCTTAGGCAACTGGCGAGTACAAAATACTCCAGCTTGAATTTAAGCCCTTGTGCACAATGACAGACAAAAAACATTGCAACAAGAAATCTCAAAAAACAAAAAGACACACATCCAGTTTTCAATAACTGATTATCTACAAATTAAAACGCATTCTGTCCCCTATGACAGACCGGCTTGATATTTTAAGTACATATGCCTCTGGATGAAAATTTAGTATTCAGATTTGAGTTACTAAATGCTGGAATCCTGCCTCTTTTCTTCCCAGTTTCAGCAAAGTGTGATATTAACTCAGAAAACGGAAATTCAAGTGATCTAGCAAAGGAATCCCAGCAAAACCCCTCCCAGCTTGAGAGAAAGCCTCTAATGCCTTCTTTTCGGTCTCCACTCCCCACTCTGAGCTGTTTCCTTCCTTCTTCTGGAGTTGAGGTCACACTCCATCCCCCCAGTTTCTTGACTCCTTTTCTTTCACATTTCTTAAACACTGTAAGTTTGCACCTGCCTGCAAAACTTCCCAAACCGGACCTTCTCGGTCCCCCCAGGGACAGAACAAGAACTCACGCCCACAGGGGTAACTCCGGAACAGAAAGGTCGGGATCCAGAGCTCCCGGCCCTTGGAATCACCCCACCACCGCCCCTCCAGCTTCAGCCAATCAGGTGCTGTCAGGGAGTATTATGCAAATAACCCTTCGTGCCCTAGCCAGTCAGGAGAGACGGCCCCCTCCCTCCAGCATCCTCTTTCACCCCAGCCGCGCCGAACTGGCGGCGGCGTCCCTGGCAACCGGAGCGCCGCCAATTTTCCCCTGCACAGAGGCCGGAAAAAAAAAACATTAAAATGGTTCCTTGTGGTCACCTGGGAGGGGAGCGGATGGGCCTGGCCAGGCCAGAGGCGAACAGCCTCTCCGTTGCCTCAGGCACTTTACCAGTTGCAATCTGGAACAGGCTGGAGATACTGAACAACCTGCCCAGGCCTTATTTTGCCTCTGGAAAACAGCAGTCATCTAGTGAGCAGACAACTTTTGAGTACTTTTTGCAGGCTGGCAGGCTCAAGGCCTCTGGTCTCTGCTTCCTCCCAAATACGCTAAATTTTCTGTAAAAGCTTCGTCTGGAATCTGGCGCCCACCTGACTTCTTGATCCACAGCTCCAACTCTGGAGCTCAATTCAGGTTCTTAATTCCCACGTTTACCTTCTTCAGCAACCAGAAAGTCACATTTTGCTGGTCTATCTCCCAATAAATGTTCACAAATGCCCCTTTCTGTGTCCTTTGGATAGTTTGGGGAAAGATGGCATTTCAAGTAACCAGAAATTTATAAACAAATGCAATAAACTGGTCAACAACAGTAAACTGGTCAAAGAAGACAGATTGGAGAAAGAAGAGATTTGGCCTAGAGTTGATGTGAAGGTGGTATCCTTGTAAAGCTAGAAACCAGCTCAACTCAAGAAAGTGGAGACTCTAGGTTACTATGAGGCAGAATGTAGAAGGAACCACTTTATGCTAAGTGTCCTAGAAAGATGATAATCAGACTGTCTTGTTTAAGGCCATGTAGTCCAACCATTCACTTGTGCTGAAATTGCTCACAACATCCCCACCAAGTGGTCACCCTGGCCCACATTCTTGTAATTTCCATCTTCTAGGTTAGTTCTCCTGTCTTGGAGCAGCCCTCCAGGAAGCCATGGAGGACTGTCAGGTATTTGAAGGTAGATAGGGTCTCCAATTCACTATTCTTCAAGCCAGCTATTCCAAGTTCCTGCAGCAGTTCTTCATGGTCTCTCTGGAGTTGCTCATCCATCCTGGCCACCGTCTTTGGAAGTAGTTCCACTTTGCTTGTAAGTGTGGCACCTGGAATTAATTCAAGCACCATCTTTTTTAGGGAAAAATGGAATGGCATGGCCACCCATTTAACTTTAAATGGTAGCTTTTCTAGATCATATTTATTGCCCACAAGTACTTGGAACTTAGACATGTTAACACATTTAAACATCACGACAACTCTGAGAAAAAATTAAGGATCACAGAATTTGAGTGGCCAAAGTAGCAGAACTGGGATTTGACCTAGTTTGCTGGTGCAAGAACCAATGTTTCTTCCACTACCCAACAAATATCTATTTCTTTACAATGCCACCTACCATTTAAATGGACTTCTTTTAGCTGCTACATCCATATGTAGCTGATTAACAAAATTCTGTGTATCCCATTTTGTTTTTTTTTTAATCAAAGTATAGTTAATTTAAAATGTGTTAGTTTCAGGTGTACAGCAAAATGATTCAGTTCTTTTTCAGATTCTTTTCCCTTCTAGGTTATTACAAAATACTGAGTATAGTTCTCTGTTCTCTGCAGGAGGCCCTCATTGATTATCTGTTTTATCTACAGTAGTGTGTATCTGTTAATCCCAGCTTCCTAATTTATCCCTCCTCCATCCTTTCCCTTTTGGTAACATTGTTTTCTATGTCTGTGGGTCTATTTCTGTTTTGTTAATAAGTTCATTTGTATCATTTCTTTTTTAGATTCCACATATAAGTGATATCATAAGATATTTGTCTTTCTCTGGCTAACTTTCAGTTCAGTTCAATCACTCAGTCGTGTCCGACTCTTTGCGACCCCATGAATCACAGCACGCCAGGCCTCCCTGTCCACTACCGACTCCCAGAGTTCACCCAAACCCATTTCCATCAAGTCGGTGATGCTATCCAGCCATCTCATCCTCTGTCGTCCCCTTCTCCTCCTGCCCCCAATCCTTCCCAGCATTAGGGTCTTTTCCAATGAGTCAACTCTTCGCATGAGGTGGCCTTTAGTATAATAATCTCTGGATCCATCCATGTTGCTGCAAATGGCATTATTTCATTCTTTTTTATGGCTTTTACACACACACACACACACACACACACACACACACACATACTGCATCTTCTTTATCCATCTGTTGATGGATGTTTAGGTTTTTTCCATGCCTTGGCTATTGTAAGTAGTGCTGCAATGAATATTGAGGTGCATGTATCTTTTCAAATTATGGTTTTCTCCAGATATATGCCCAGGAAGGGTATTGCTAGATCATATGGCAATGATCTATTTTTAGTTTTTTTGAGAAACCTCCATACTATACTTAATAGTGGCTGTACCAGTTTACATTCCCACTAACAGTGTAGAAGGGTTCCTTTCTCCCCACACTCTCCAGAATTTATTATTTGTAGACTTTTTGATGATGGCCATTCTGATAAGTGTGAGGTGATACTTCATTGTAGTTTTGATTTCTCTAATAATTAGTGATATTGAGCATCTTTTCATGTGCCTATTAGCCATCTATATGTCTCCTTTGGAGAAATGTCTATTTAGATCTTCTACCCATTTTTTGATGTTGAGCTATATGAGCTATTTATGTATTTTGGAAATTAATCCCCTGTTGGTTTCATTATTTACAAATGTTATCTGTCATTCTATAGGTTGTCTTTTCATTTTATGATTTCCTTTTCCGTGCAAAAGCTTTTAAGTTTAATTAGGTCCCATTGTTTTTATTTCCATTACTCTAGGATACAGATCCAAAAAGATCTTGCTGCGATCTGTGTCAAAGAGTGTTCTGCCTATGTTTTCATCTAAGAGTTTTGTAATATGTGGTCTTACATTAGGTCTTTAATCCGTTTTGAGTTTATTTTTGTATATGGTGTTAGAGAATGTTCTAATGTGTTTGGATCTTACCCATATGTTTCATAACTATATATTGATCCAAGTTATTGATAATTTACAGGGAACACTGGCTGGGCAAAGGGCAAAGTACTTTGGAACACTTGGAAAGTTTCTTCAGCTTGATATCAACCGATTAATTAGCATCTTTAAATAATTAATTAATTAGCATGTTTTGTCATATGTTGTTCAGCCAGCTATGAATCATGTTAATTGTACAATCATCTAGCCTCTATTTTTCTTCTTGACCACAGAATATTATGAGAGGCCCTGCTAAGTGCCTTGCTAGAATTCCAAATTAATGGCCAGTTTTTCTTTTATGGAATTGGGAAGTTGGGTATTTTTGTCATCTGCCATGGAGGAACCACTGTCACATGATACAAAAATGCAGAAATGGCATCATAATATTCTGAGTTAAGTTTGTAAGTGGGTGGTATTAATCTCAGTGTAATTTTCATCATAGGAAACACCCTCATGAAGATTTAGTTGGGAAAAGATAAGAAGATGCTAAAACCTGGGAACATGGCAGTAGTGAGTCTGCTGGCCTCCAACCTTGATCTTGCAGGTTCTGGCATGTCCGAATATATTGTGGTTAGCACTTTGTCCCAATCTTATTTTTAAGAAGCCTTTTTAGACTTGAATCCAGGAGGAGTAGGACAAAGGAAAAACTGAGACTACTAAAGACTATCTTTTATTGCTCTTAGTATTTCTGCATCTTTGGGAATTTTAAACCACATGGAAAATGAGGCACTTAATTTGCATGTGGTAAATAAGAAGATCGATATGTGAATTCTATAATTTTTTATAATTCACTATATATTTTTTATCAATTTATAGGTTTGCTTACCTACCATATAGGCTTTTCTCCATCTGATTATCCCTAGATCTCTTAGCATTCTAAGACTTTTCTTACACCATCAGCATAGAAGGGACAATGGAAGTGGTCTTCCTTTCCTCTCTTCTGTTTGTGTCAATTTGCTTAGTTTGAATTCTTAAATTCAAAGTTTACAATTTATAGCACTAAAGTAACATTGAGAGAGAAGATATAATTATCAATATTTCATATGTTCAAGTCCTGAGTCATATATATGTGTATATATATGTTATACTTTATTGTTTTTATATAACATTTTTATACAGGCTTATATATACAACCCATTTAATTGAAGCTACAATGTCATTAATGCAATACTATCTGATACAAAACTTCAATAGTTCTATGCCATAATTTCCTCTTTTAATCCTAACAATAAAGGAAATTGGACCACGACAAGATGTACTAGAGATGAGGGGAATCCATCTACATCATATTAGGTCCAGGTAGAGTATTTAGGCTAGTCTCATAATTATGAGCTGGAAGAAAAGAGTAGTATGGCAAACTAAAACAAACAAAAAAAGATAGTGTGCGGAAGATATAAGTCTGGAAGTAAGTACAACACATAGACCCTTCCAGCTCTAGAAGACCTTAGTAAGAATATGAAAAACAGTAAACCATTAGGAAGATTTTAAAAAGGAAATGGCAGAGCAAAGGAACAAAATTTATACACCTCCCCTCAAAGGCAAACAAACTAGTAGAAAGTTAATAAATGAACTATAAACAAAGCAGTCATGACAAAAAGTTAAATTACTGGCATAGAGAGAGGGTTTAGATAATCACAGAGAATAAAGAAAATAGAGAGGAAATGTTGGATATAGAAACAAAAACAACATGATATAAACCTAATTGACATCACTGAGGTAGAGATTTCAACAATCAAAATTAGAAAAAATAATATGGACATGATATAGAAAACTTTACAAACATGTTCCTCTGCAGATTTAATAAGCACACTGTATACCAGGTAAAATTATTCAGAAAAGCTGACATTGAAAAACAAGCTAGTTATATTTTTC